GAGAAGCGCATATTTTGTTGGGATCTATGTTGACATTTGACTTTGTATTCAGTTTGCATCTCATGAAAAATGTATTGGGTATTTCAGATGAATTGTCAAAATCATTACAAAGGAGAGATCAAAATATTGTGAACGCTATGAAATTAGTGAAAATATGCAAACAACTCCAAGCAATGAGGGACGATGAATGAGAATCATTTTTAAGAACAATTTCTTGTTTTTGCAAAAGGTACAACATTGATATTCCCAACATGGATGGTATTTTTATACTTCTAGGCCGTTTAAGGTGTAACACGCAAGGAACGACAAATTTGCATCACTTTCGTATGGATTTCTTCTATGCTATCATCGATATGCAAATTCAAGAGTTGAATGATCGTTTCTCTGAGGTAAATAGTGATTTACTCCTTTGTATTTCATGCTTGTGTCCGGATAATTCATTTTCGGCTTTCAACAAGGACAAGTTAATTCAGTTGTGTGAGTATTATCCCAAAGATTTTACACTAGTAGAGATCTTGGCTCTTGAAGAGCAAATTCAGACATATATTATTGATATGCGCACAACTGAAGATTTTCAAGGTTTACGAGATCTTAGTTATCTTGCAGAAAAGTTGGTTGAAACTTGCAGAAAATGAAGTGTATCCATTAGTTTACCGACTTGTAACATTGACGTTAATTCTTCCAGTTGCTACTGCTACAGTAGAGAGATTATTTTCTGCAATGAAAATTGTCAAAAATCGACTGCGTAGTTGGATGGGAGATCAAGGGTTAAGTGATAGTTTAGTTGCATATGTTGAAAACGATGTACTTAACAATATTGATAACGATGTAATTATACGACGTTTTTAGAGTATGAAAACGCGTAGGTTACAATTGTAATAACATATCGGCTTATTTTCGTTAATGATATGATATTTTGGAATTCTCATTTTTAACCCCACAACGCGAATCATCTGGGTCCGCCCCTGGGTAAAGGTGGTGGGTAATTGAATATTGTAATCCCATCTCTCTCTTGAAAATCCCCAGCATAGTGGGAGATTGAAAATGTCGTCGCGTCTTGCCCTTTTGCTATCGGAAGGAAAGATTGTCAAAATATGCCATTAAAATTTTTTTTAGTCAATCCGATGAATTGAACAGTAAAAAATATAGAGAAAGTAAATGGACAATTGATAAGTCTAGTATGTCACATACATTGATGGTACTTTGAATTGAAATCATGTTGCCCCGATCAAATGTCATTATGTGCAATGTCAAGTTATGAGTTGGGGACAAATATTGCTATAATTTTATGACAATAATGGAAGGGCACGAATATAAATATGCAGGACTTGAAGGGCACGAATATAAATATTGTAACTGCCCAAAAAGAAAAAAAAGAAAACCTCAGTCTCGTGTATTCAGCTCTCCTGCGGATCCAAAAATAGAAAAAAAAAAACGGGGGGATAGAAGAAGAAATCAGCTCCAAAATTTTCTTTCTCGTCACTTCTTTAGCTTAGATCCTTAGAACCCTTTACTAGGGTTTTGACTTATAGTATTGGGTCACATACTAAACTTTATTTTCACCTTTTTGGGGCAAGCATAGGCAAAACAATTTATCATTCATGGAAACTTGGAGATTTCTATTTCTCTGTTTTTTCGTTTTAAATTTATTGTCTTTAAGTTTCAATTATGGCGTCTCGCAATCGGAGGAACAGAAGAAGAACAAGTTTCGCGAGCGTGAGGCAACTGATGATGCTCTTGGTTACCCCAATTTGTACGTATAATATATTTAGATGTGAAAACTATTTGCATAATTATTGTTTGATTCATTGGTACAATTGTTTATGACAAATTAGTCGTTATGTTTATTTGATTGAATATGTTTTATTTAAAAATCGAAAATTCATTATGAATGGATGAAAGTGTGTTCTGGTAAACAGCTGGTGATGAGTAGTACTATTATATTTCTACGTGCATTTTTTATAGGTTTAATAAATGGGTGCAATTGTGAATTGTGTTATTTGTTAATGTTTATGATTTTATGGCTTGGGTGTGCTTAGTGATGAGGATGAGCTGTTGAACACTCAATGCCCTCGGCATTTGGAATTAAGATGGCAGACTGAAGTGAGTTCTAGCATATATGCATCGCCTTTGATTGCTGATATCAACGGGTAAAAGGAAAGCTGTCTTCTTTACAGTTTTTGTAGATAGAACTGCTTATATTATTTTTTTTCCTTTTTTTTTTCCTTACCACATTTTTTGTAAAGAATGTGTAATGTGAAACTTAATCAAATAAGTAAACTTTGTATGAAAAAAGTCTTCTCTTCTTACACGAATTGTTATTTCCTATTGAGTGAGTTTTGATCAACTTTTCTTTAATAACAGTATTGATCAATAATTATATTTACTTATCGTGGCCCTTGTGCTGTCATCTTTAACTCCATCAATGTATTCTGATTAAAAACTTTCCTATTTATGCTCAAGTGATGGAAAGCTTGAGGTAGTAGTTCCCTCTTTCGTGCATTACTTGGAAGTCCTAGAAGGTTCTGATGGAGATAAAATGCCAGGTACACCTTTGCTTGTAGAGTTGAAATGAAGTTTGGATAATGATATATTTCCCAGATTCACTTTGATAGAGTAAACACTTGTTTAAGTTTTTCTCATTGACTATGGAGGACTAATTTGTTAATCACATTGTTTCATAGTGAACACTAGGGAGAGAGGATTTTATCTATAGAACACTAGGATTGTTTTGGTTGATATCATCCAAATGAGGTGATATTTCTATGGTTGTTACATAAATTTATCAGGATGGCCTGCTTTTCATCAGTCGACTGTTCATTCTAGTCCTCTCCTATATGATATTGACAAGGATGGCGTGAGAGAAATAGCTTTAGCCACCTACAACGGTGAAGTCCTCTTTTTCAGGTAACAGAACTATTTATTCAAAATGTTCTCTCAAAGCAGTATTTTATTTTATTTTTTAAAAAAAACCTGACTCAATTCATTGAATTTATTGAAATAGGGTGTCTGGTTATATGATGTCAGATAAACTAGAGATTCCTAGGTTGAAAGTGAAAAAGGATTGGTATGTAGGTTTGCATCCAGATCCTGTGGATCGTTCCCATCCAGATGTTCATGATGACCAGTTAATACAGGATGCTCTTATGGAGTCACTGACTCGTAAGTATATTATTCGTTACTTATCAAATATTAAACAAAATGGTTATTTTTGTTAGTTAATCTGCAAGTGGTATGATATAGAAATTTGCTGCTTAAGCCTTTTTTTAATTTCTTATTTCCTTCAATTTCATTGAATATGTCAAGCATGCTTGCTGAAGCATCTCAAAATTGTACTTCCATAATCAAATGCAGCATGATCTCCCCAAAGTTTTCCTGATATGATGCACATCACAAAACTTTAATCAATTGAAAGCATGTCACTGCAAAAATTTTGTTAATACCCTTGGTCCTGTATGAAGTGAATATCATTTCATTTACTCAAGATGATGGACATTTGGCGTATTGCATTAAATTTCCTGATCATTCAGATTTTAACTTCTTTGATCTCTTATCCTGGACCGTTTTGTTTTACATCTGATCCATCCACGGACAGATTATCAATTGCCTCGTGATCCCACTGTATGTTAGAGGAGACCTTGTTTAGTATGGGAAAAAAAAAATCAGTCTATTTTCCTTGTCTGGATTTTTTTAGCTTGATCCCCCTTCTCACTTTTTTATTTTTGTGTGCTTAGTAAGGGATGATCCCATTTAATTCCTCCTCCCTCCATCCTCCCTGCACACAGAAAAGCTGCCCTCTTTCACCTTCTTCTGACTTTTAAACTTTTAGAAAACTAGTACCTTTTATAATTGCCTTATATTTATAGAAATTATTGATAAAATTGACCCTGTATCCTTTTAAAATGGACTCACTGTAGCATAGAGTTTCTGGTAAAGTCCAAACCGTGTGGCAATATTGTAAAAGTACCATCAAATAGTTATGTTAATAAGCTATTAAAAGGATACATAAGAAAAGCAAAAATATTCAATGGTGAGAGTCATGAATATTTGAAGATGTTCTACGATGGATACATAGGCTCGGATCTACATAGACTATGGTCTCTCTGACTGCATTCCTGAAAAAAATCATTATTTCATGAGTATAGGCAATTAGCTATTATCTAGTAGGAATTTTCCTGTTTGTTAGCACCTGCACCCCATCCTCAGGGGAGAATACTGTTTGCATTGAGCGCGATAAAATATGCATGTAAATTGTTATCATGAATGGATTTATTGCGATAGACATTTTTCTTTGGCACATTTGAGGTATATCTAATTTGTTTTCCAGTGGTAATTGGGCTTATGGAATGCCTGGCTGTCACTTTCAAATTTTTCTTTATCCTTGCATGTGTCTAAAATTTAAAATATGTTTTAGAACACGATGGAAGTACGCTTGTAGCCAACAGTTCAAACTCCTCTACACCAGAAGCTCGCAATTCATTGAAGATGTCGAATTCTACACCAGAAGACAATTCATTGAACACGTCGAATCCAACACTAAAAGTTCACAATTCATTAAACGCATCGAATCCTACACCAGAAGTTCGTAATGATGCATCTAATAATACGATTTCCACAACCGAAATTCAACATGATGTACAGAATGCATCTAATCTAGAGGATCCAGGAAAAAGGGATGTTAGTCAAGCAAATGCAGACATCAGTATGCCACATAACATTAGTAGCAATACATCTTCTGATTCAAACACAGGGAGAAGGCTTCTCGAAGAAAGTGTGTCTGAATCTGGATCCAAAGGTAATGACGCTGAGGATGTTCATGCCGCTACTGTCGAAAATGATGGAGGCTTGGAAGCGGATGCTGATTCATCATTTGAGTTATTCCGGGATAGTGAAGAGTTGGCTGATGAGTATAACTATGATTATGATGATTATGTTGATGAAAGCTTGTGGGGAGATGAGGAATGGACTGAAGCACAACATGCGAAATTGGAAGATTTTGTGCATATAGATGCACATGTTTTGTGCACTCCTGTAAGTATAGTAGTATGAGTTTGTTTGAGCCCCATTTTTTCTTAAGAATACATTTTGGAATAGTAGATTGATGGAGAATGTGTGGTTGAAAAATAAGGAAAGAATTTGGGATTGCGTGTAATATTATTTTATTGAAGAATGTGTGGTTAAAAAGAAGGGATAAAAATGTATTTTGGAAATAATGGGGATCAAACGATATGTTGCTTTTGCTTCCATGCCTATAGGGGTTGTAAGCATTCCTCTTTCCTGCCTTTGAGACCTCAGATATAAGGTTTTCTAAATGTGTTTTATTACCAAATTTGATATCTTTTATACTTCTTTTCAGGTAATAGCAGACATAGACAATGACGGGGTGTCAGAGATGATTGTTGGAGTTTCCTACTTCTTTGACCATGAGTAAGTTTCTTACTTCAATACATTGTTCTAAAACTTCAATCATACAACTTTCATTTTATTTTTTCTTTGACATTTCATCACTTCTTTATATATATGATCTGTGGGGATGTTGTGGCTTTTTGTTAATACCGAGGAAATAAAGAAGAAAAAACTCTTAACATATTGCATTACGTTTTTTTCTCTCTGACGGTTTGAAATCCACTAGAAGTGGTCTGCATGCAATTCAGCTGATTATTGTAGGTTCACAGGTATTATGACAATCCAGAACATTTGAAGGAACTTGGTGGCATTGAGATTGGAAAATATGTTGGTGGTGGCATTGTTGTTTTCAATCTTGACACAAAGCAAGTTAAATGGACAGCACAGCTGGATCTGAGTGCAGATACTGGAAGTTTCCGTGCCTACATATATTCATCTCCAACAGTTGTTGATTTGGATGGTGATGGGAATTTGGACATCCTGGTTGGAACTTCTTATGGTTTGTTTTACGTATTGGACCACAAGGGTGCGTGTTCTCTCCTGTTCCATGCTGTGACCCTGTATTTGAAGATTTTCATAAACTTGCAAGAAATTGGTTTTACAACAATTTTACAATTGGACTGTAATATCCCTTTTTTTATTTTTTTGGCGTGTGGGGTGTGGCGGAGATGAACAGCATCACACATAACTCAGAGACCACTATTTCATTGTTGAATTTACGAGTGTCTACAGAATCCATTTCTCTTGACCATTGCTGACATGACTTTTAGATAAAAAAGAAAATTCGGGAATGTCTCGGTTGAGAAATCGCTATTCTAGAAATTGTGTAATTAATTATTCTCTCTCAGATCATATCAGACATGTTCTCGTATTTTTTATTTTTATTACTTCTAGTTTGCATCTCTTGCTGGCTTTTTTATTAGCCTTACTTTAGCTTATACTGATTCAGGCAAAGTGAGAGAGAAATTTCCACTTGAAATGGCTGAAATTCAAGGGGCAGTAATTGCAGCCGATATCAATGATGATGGCAAAATTGAACTGGTGACTACTGATGCGCATGGAAATGTTGCAGCTTGGACTTCACAAGGAAAAGAAATTTGGGAAGCACATGTTAAGAGCCTTGTTCCACAGGCAAGTCACAATTTCCTGACTTCTAAATATGGTAAATTCAAGCTAGATATAATGTTTGAGTATGCCATATGAGAAACAAAGGATTTTTTCTCAGGGTGCCACAATTGGTGACGTCGATGGGGATGGTCATACTGATGTTGTCGTTCCAACAATATCTGGAAACATATACGTTCTGAGTGGCAAGGATGGCTCAACTGTACGACCCTATCCATATAGAACTCATGGTAGAGTGATGAATCAAGTTCTTCTGGTCGACTTGAGCAAACGAGGGGAAAAAAGGAAGGGACTAACAATTGTTACTACATCATTTGATGGTTACTTATACCTAATAGATGGGCCCACATCGTGCGCCGATGTTGTGGATATTGGAGAAACTTCGTAAGATAATTCAAAGTTGATGTAACCATTAGTCATTCTTATAACTACTGCCTTCTTATTTCACAAAATATTATATATTCTTCAATGACAGATATAGCATGGTTTTGGCCGACAATGTCGATGGTGGAGATGATCTTGATCTTATAGTAACAACCATGAATGGCAATGTCTTCTGTTTTTCAACTCCTTCTCCACATCATCCACTCAAGGCAGGATATGACTGAATTAAATCTGTTTTTATTTATTCGCCAACTTGACATAATTATTAAGGCCCCCTTGATTATGGATTTCCAGGCATGGAGATCATCGAATCAGGGAAGAAACAATGTTGCACAACGCTATGGCCGAGAAGGAATCTATGTTACACCGTCATCAAGAACTTTCCGTGATGAAGAAGGCAAGAGTTTTTGGGTCGAAGTAGAAATTGTAGACAGATACAGGTTTCCATCTGGCTCCCAAGCACCTTATAATGTCACGGTATGAAGCTTCTTCCCTCTCTTGATTCTTTGCATATCAAAGCAAGAAAAAAGAAATGAAAAGAAGGGAAAACGCTTTTACCATTTGCTGATATTATCTTCTCTCTTAATGTAAACATAGATAAGTTTGTTGGTTCCTGGCAATTACCAAGGAGAGAGGACGATTAAGCAAAATCAAGTCTTTGACCGTTCTGGAATACATCGCATTAAACTTCCAACCGTAGGAGTTAGGACTGTTGGGACTGTACTAGTAGAGATGGTTGACAAGAATGGACTTTATTTTTCAGACGACTTCTCCCTTACCTTTCATATGTATTACTACAAGCTGTTAAAATGGCTTCTTGTCCTTCCAATGCTCGGAATGTTTGGGGTTCTTGTCATCCTGCGCCCACAAGATGCCGCCATGCCTCTGCCATCATTTTCTCGAAACACTGACTTGTGATATCGAGCAGCCAATGAAATCTGACGTGCATATTAGGCATTACACAGCAGTCGAGGGTTGTCATCTTCAGAATCCTTGTGCTGGAAAAACTAATTCGATCAAATTTAGTCTGATAAAACTTCAACATCTCATCTCTCTACACAGCCTGTGCCTGAAACGAACCTGAGATTTGTGTTTGAAAATGCAAGGCATATGTTGTAATTTGGGGCTGATTAAGGAAAGGTTTTATTTGATGTAATTTAACTTTCCTTTGCGAGATAATATACAGAAATTAGATTTTTGACCCTATACTTAATTTTTTTTAGTGGATTTTGCAGTCCTCTTTTCTTTTTTTCTGCAGTGTGATATCCTTTTAGGGTGTTTTTTTTTTATTTTTATCTTCATCGCACAATTTAAACTTCCACCAAAAGTTTTTTTGGTGCATGTTCGGCCAAGCTTAAAAAGTTAGATTAATCTACTTGTACACACAAAGTGTACAATTTGATTGATGGGACTCTGTAAAAAATTTGGCAGCTGATTGAAAAATGTGTTGTCAAGATTAATATACCAAAATCTATTTAACTCGCATGGAAGTAAATCAATGTGTTAACCTTTATGTATATTTAGCATGGTCCTAAAAAGTTTGATTATAACTAAATAACTTTCATATTTCTAAGAAACTTGGTCATCATTCTCCATATTTCAACAGTTCTTTGTTTCAATGAAGATTTGTTAAAGTCGTGATTTTAAAAATTTGTTTATCCTCCCTAACGTCTTGAACTTCTATATAAGATGATTCAACAAGATTCAACAATTTTAACTTAGAATAATTAGCATACAACGTCCTTGCTTTTCATTATTATTATGAAAAACATCATTATCTTTCATTTTTTGACATTTTCATCCTTATTTTTACATTTCATTGCGAACTAATTGCAACCATAGTCCCAAATTTTTTTAAAAAAAAAGTGTAAACGTGTCTCAAATGAATTATTAAAGTGTAATTAGAACACAGTGTCCCTACCTTTCACTATTATTGTGAAAAATATCTCTCAGATTAACATTTTCACCCCTAATTACAAATTTGATTTTGCAAATTATCGTTTCACATTTTCACCATTAATTAAACATTTGATTGTGTAAACCATCATTTCTATAAATTTTTATCCAATTTCTCAATAAAAATGTGGAATGACGAATATATCATCTTATTTAAATAAAAAAATAAAGAACTAATTGCAACCATAATCCTCATTTTTCTTAAAAAGTGCAAGCGAGTCCCAAATAAATTACTAAAAAATCAGAAATAAAAAAAGTATTTTTTTTATTTAAATAGGAGGGTGTATTCGTCATTTGACAAGAAAGAGTTGTTTCGATCATGTTTGGCAGCAAGTTACACAATCAGGCCGAGAAAAAAACTGAATAAAGTAGGTTTTGTGTTAAGAGTTGGAAAGCATGAGAAGCGAGAGCTTCAAGAAATGCATGCTCAATTACTTAAATTTAGCTTATATATATAAGAGCATACAAAGACAAATTGTAAATTTATTTGATCGAGTGTGCTTTTGAGTTTTGTCCATTGAATTATCATATTTAATAGAGTTGGGAGCATTTTGGCTTTGCATCTTTTGAAAAGAATGCATGTTTTCTCTTAAGAGTATCGTGCTTACTACAACTAAAAAAGACTATAACAAAGTTAATTTAACGTGCACTTTTAAGTTAATCATGCTTTTGGTTAGCATGAGAAGTGGGAAAATTTTACTTTACAATCAAATAATAATTTACCTCATGCCACGGAAAAAAATCACAAGATTAAAATATAATTTTTTTAAAAGGACGAATGTGCTCAATATATTGAAATTTGAGGGCCTAAATATAAATAGAAAATGAATTCATGAGGCAATGTCCGACTAACAACCAAATCTTCAAACAATAAAGACATGTTTTCGTATGAATAATGCTATATAGAATCAGTTATGCTAAAGCACCAATTTCGATATACCACACATGATTAATTAATTCAATTAAATAAATTATGTAACACTGCATTTAGGTGAAGATCGATGTTATTTAACATCAATTTAGGTGACAATTACGTATTCAATTAAATACAAGGAATTTATAATCCATTTAATAGAATCTATAATATATGACACTTAAATTGATGTTTAATATTATTGGTACTAAATAACATTATTTTTAAGTGTATGTATTATTTAATACAACGCAATTATCTCATAGTACTCTACATCATTGACCTTAAACAACATTACTTTTCTTTTAAACTCAAAACATGCGATTTTAGCTCACAACAAATAAAACTGTAGCGAATGAGACCGGACAGAAGCCCATTCACATAATTTAAAGCATTATAACGTACACATAAAGATCTTTCTTTTATTTGTACTGATTTCCCGCCCCATCTTCCTCTCTCTACAAATATATATTCAGAGTTGAATGTTGTTTACATGTTGTAGCTAGCTAGGGTTTTTGATTTGGATCTACAGAAGAATATGAAACGGAGTCGCAAGCTCAAGAAACCAGATTCAGTTCCCAATGTCGGTAAACCTAAAAATACTAATACTCTTTTTTTTAGATGCTACTAAACGCATTTTAATTAATCACGTCATTGCATTTTTGCAGTTGATTTTGGAGGAAGTAATTGGCTTGACAACGAAAAACACCAACGGATTGGCTTCGAGCATTTCCACTTCGAAATGTGCGTACATTGCGGGCTGCGTTGTTGTGTTGTACGACGTAGATTCCGGTACTCAATCGCATCTCATGGTGTCTAATCGGATGCCGAAACCCTTGACCTGTGTTTCGTTGTCGCGTGATGCAAGAGTTGTTGCAGCCGGAGAGGTATAATCAGTTTATTCTTGTTTATTTGCAAGGACTTGTTCTGAAATCTATTTCAGACTCGCAGTTTGTTTACTGTTCTTTTAATATCTAGGTTTGATTTTGATGAATAATTTAACTTCAAGAATTAGGAAGGAGACTAGACTTTTTTAAGAAGCATACATTATTTAAAGGAAATTTAGAATAAAGAAATTAAGAACGCGTTTGTTTTGCCCTTTTGAGGTTATTTTCAGGTTGCAGTTTTCAGTTTTCTAAAACATTCGAAACATGTCATGTTATTTTCAAAAAAGAGTTTTGAAAACAACAAAAAATTTACAGCATAAAACTTAAAATGACCTTCTGACGTTGAGAAATTCAAAACAAGGAAAATGAACTTAAAACATTTTTCAAATTAAAATAATTAATAAAATCACACAAAATCTACCCAAATATACAAATATCCATAAAACTATATAATCACATATAAGCATAAAATTGATATGTTTTACTATAATCAAATTAATTGAAAAAAATGTCATAAAACTACTTCTAAATTTTTTAAAACCAAACGCGTTTTTCGCAATTTTAAAATAATCCCTCAAAATAGAAAACAAAAAATGAATTCAAAACTGAAAATAGAAAATATAAACGCAAACCAAACGCACCCCAAGTTTCTGTCAAGAAACTATTAAAAATAATCATCTGACTTTGTTTTTGGTTCTTGTTGATACCAACTTCACACTGTTTTTTAGACAATTTCTATTTTTAAGGAAAAATCTATATAGGTTCAGGATTTGTAGCTACATAAAGACAAAGTAGTACAGACCGGTGTAGTTCTCACCTAAAATCAGGTTAAGAGCTGCCAATCAATATCTAAAAATTGAATTTAGTTTGATATTGAGCTGATTCTTTTTTTTATTATTGTTCTTCACTTTTTACTTAACTACTTGATATTGAATTGTTTATTTCTTCTCATTCTTGTTCTTGGCTGATTTCAGACGCACAAAATTAAGATGCTATAGTCATTCCTTCATTTATGTGCGATCACCACATCAATTTTAACGTAAATGGCGAAGTTTTAAGAAGAAACTATAATTTTTCCTCTTCAAATTTTATATATTTTTTCCCTTATGTGGCATTTCAGTCAGGCCCCAGACCTGCAGTATTGGTGTGGGATGGTATAACCTCCAGTCTAATACGTGAGCTGAAAGGCCATCAATACGGTGTGGCATGCATTGCTCTTTCACCTGACGGTTAGTTTGAGCATGTCAGTTAGATCTTTTACCTTCAATTTGCTTCCTCCTTGACAAATCCCTTCTGTCAATTTCAATGTGATATTTCAATCCTTCTAGGCAAATGCCTGGCCTCCATTGGATTTCCCCGTGATGGATATATCTGCCTCTGGGATTGGAGAAGTAAGATATTAATCACAAAAATCAAAGCCTCTTCACAATATCCTGCTTTTGCATCTGTTAGCTTTTCCCTAGATGCAAAATTCATAGTAACTGCTGGGAAGAAGCATCTGAGGTATTGGAAAGTTGGATCATCTCCAAATGCTCGTTCTAGTACTAGATCAACATCAGTGGCCATGCAAGGGAAGTCCATCAATCTTGGTCACTGTGAGGGATTGTCATTTGTAGCTGTTACAGCTCCCAGCTGGACCAAGAAAAGCTCTGTAAATCACATACATGCCACTGAATCACCTATATATGCATTAACTGATACAGGTAATCAGATTCACAATATGTATGCTGAGATGGTGATGCATTTCTGATCTGCCTATGATAATTAATCATCCCTTCTCTTGTTCAGGAATTTTATGTGTTTTAGTCGGCTCGTCAATTATAACCTCAGTGGAGTTAGAGGTAGATTGTGTTAATATTATGCACATGCTTCTTGATTTCGATCCATAGTATTTCTTTATTTAAATAGTCTAGTGGAACATATGAAAATAAATAATAGTACTCATGGTGATAGTTCATTACTTAAGTGTTTGGTTGTTCTAACCAATTATTTGAGTCTGAACTCAGGTTGAAAAAGGTTTTGCACTATCTACATCCAACAGTTTGGTTGCTTGTGCATGCAACAATGGAGTTGTTAAACTATTTGGCATCAGTTCCCTAAAATATGCTGGAAGCTTATGTTATACTGAAGCCAAAAGATGCAATAAAATAAATGTCGTGGAC